TTAAACTTTTCTTTTTCCAAAAGACATTTTAAAAACTTAGTTTTTAAGGGTATACTAGGAGGAGAATGATGGAGACGTAGGAAGGAATAGGAGATTCGAAAATAGAACTCATTCGTACTCTGGGATATTAATATTTAATATTAATATTAATATTTCAATTTAAATGTAATTTATTTTCGATATTCTACAATTTCAATTCAAATTATATCTACTCCGTATATTCTGCGAGATTTTTAATTAGCTTCAATTTCATATTTTGAATAAATTTTGAAAGTAAATCAAGATCCAATAATATTTAGTAAAAATTGAGGTGCTACACGGGTGTCAAGTTGGCACTTTCTTCAAAATGTCTTAAAAATATTTCAACAATAGGCTTTTTCAGTAATTCTTGAGAAATTCTATAGTTCCCGTTCTCGTTTTAAGAGTTGCTTTGGGAACCAGTTGTGAGTAGCGGAGAACCTCTGCCCGCCAAGCTACGCGTCCGTGTTCCCGTTTAGCTCGGCTACGACGGGATTCGTATTGTCGACGGAGGCGATGATCACAGAATCCTACTTCCGGACTCGCCGCGATGTTTTAGCGCCACGATTTTGGTATTGCCGAGAATCGTAGCGTTGTGCATCTCCCTATTCATCTCTGGATTACGTTATAGCGATGCAATTCAGTTTATCGTGACGCGTCTTGTTTAAAAGCAATAAAGATACTTGTGCAATGAAAAATACGGAGAGCGATCGAGTTAGAGAATTGACGCGAATCTCTTTATTGGGAGATCATGGTGTTTCTTTCTTTGGTTAATTAAAAATCTTAGATTGCGCTAACTATTCGATACGTACCAGTGTCATAAGTGATAGATAGTTGTATATCGTATCGTAACCTGTCCTTGGCTCTGAGAGTTGCGCAAAGTTACTCCTATGTTATACTCGCTAGGAATTAATAATAAGGAAATTAAAAGTTACTAATTTGCTATATTTTACGAGTTTCATAATATATTTCAAGATGGCTGGCTCCAAGAGTTCTCTTAGGCGAGTGTTAAAACTTCCATGCTCAATTATAACATTGTTATACGGTAAAACTTTGTATAGTACATGCTTTGATCAATGGAGAAAGTGTTTCAGCAATTTTTGCAACTCGTATTCGTTCTGTGGTGTATATATATTACTGGGGTATGCACTTTCATCTTTGGTATATCATGTCTACCTCATATTCTATATTTTGGAACAGGTTGTATTTTGTAACGTGGAACGTTGCTACCAAGTATCCTGAGCAAGATATTCGTCATCTCCTAGATTTTAATCAGGATGATGATGAGAATCTACCAGATATGTATATAGTAGGGTATGTTATAACATTCTTAGATCCGATACATTTAAAACATTTTATACTCATGAAATGTGTATTTCAGATTACAAGAAGTTAAAGCACAACCTCAAAATATGGTTCTAGATATATTTTTCGAGGATCCATGGACAAGATCCTTTAGGTACGTAATACTTTGATTCGTACCTCCTCGAAGTAATTACATAGTAAAGAATACTTTTTAGGGAAGCATTAAAGAAGCACGATTATGTAAAGATACGTACTCAAAGGCTACAAGGTCTCGTGTTAAGTGTATTTTCATTAAGGAAACACTTAACTCATTTGAGACTGATAGAAGCTCAATATACTAGAACAGGATTTGGAGGGATGTGGGTACGGCCAAAAGAAAAAAAAATCTATTTTTCGATATGCGTCATGAATGATAAATCGGAACAATAAGAATCTTTTGTTTAAGGGTAACAAAGGCGCGGTTAGTGTCAGATTAAACTTGTATGGCGTCAGTGTATGCATAGTTAACACCCATCTGACGCCCCACGATCATCTGCTGGCTGATAGGATTGCTGATTACAATACCATATTGAAGGAACACGCATTTAACGCACCAGACACTCCAAATATTTTATACCATGAGTCCGTGTCCGTTCCTATTGGCCAAATGCGAACGAAACCCAATAGACGAAATAACAATACCGTATTATGTCCAGCTACGTATTTTGGATTGGTGATTTAAACTTTCGACTCGCTGGCGAAGATCTCACAGCTGTAGACATCGACCTGCTGGTAAAGAAGAGTCAGCTGGACCTGTTAATGCGCAGAGATCAGCTGAAAATAGCCATGGAAACTGGAGAGGCATTCAGTGAACTCACTGAGAGTGAAATAACATTCCCACCGACTTACAAGTATGAATTTGCATCTCAAGAATTTGATCTCAAGTAAGTATTACAATTATTAAGAATTATGGCTCTTGTCTTGAACTCTAACACAGATAATCCTCAGACGCAGACCTTCTTGGACCGATAGAATACTGTACAAAGTTAATTCAGATGTTTATGAGGATGTCAAACTGAAAATCAATCAGATCAACTACAAGAGTCATCCTTGTTATGTACAATCTGATCACAAACCTGTAACAGGGGAATTTGACATTACGGTAATAAAATTTAGAAAGAAAAACACGATATCTCCTACAATTTTGTATATCTTTTCCAGATACGACCGGATGTTGAGGATCACGGTGTAGAATTCCAGCCGCTTTCAGCCTGGTTCATAGACGAAGAGAATTCAGTGTCGTACAAGCTCTTGGGTAACTACAAACCTGCCAGTGGTGATTGGATAGGGCTCTTCATGGACCGTTTCTCAAACCTGGACGAGTACGTCGTCTACGAGTACGTGGGCAGAGGTAAATAAAAAAAATATATTAATACACAAGGCTACGCCTTTTACTCAATATTCTCAAAGTCGAGAAAAGACAAAGAAAATTAAATAAATTTAGGAAAAACAACAACTATGGCGGAACCAAACGCCATCACGGAGCGAATATTCTTCAGCGACACAGCTTTAAGGGCACCCGGGATGTATCGGCTGGTTTACATAACACAGCACGACGGTATCATCGGTATTTTAGGTATAAGTCCGCCATTCCCCGGACACAAGAGGCCAGCCTGATCGAGAGCCTCATTCAACCTATAAAGCTTTGATTATTATAGGCTGATATTGGCGCGTTACGCAATTTCTCATATAATAGCGCGATTATCGGGCACGGGGATAATAGGTTATTTCCACATGCTAGGGATTATTAATAGGTGATAATTTCGTTACAACGAAATCACGAGGTCTTTACATCTACGCTCGTGCCTGGTTCAACTTTCGGTACCTGTTCTTAAGTTCGGGCCCAATTATAATATTGTACAAAGCACCTAGCACTGCTGGCGCGCTTGCTACTTAAGCTTCGCTACGCTTCGGAGACACTATTTTGTCTCCAGTTCTTGCGTTTCATGTAGTCTGCAACACGAACAATAATTTAAATGCGAGATTCCACGGTACCAGCTTTACTGGATATACTTCTGCGTATCTCTGGAAGACTCATTATCTGACCTGAAAGACGTATCGCGTGTTTATGTAACAAAACGTATAGTTTATTTTTATGGTGTAATGATTAGCGATCAAATGAGTAAAAGGTGTCACGGTGTAAAAGGAGAATCGAATAAAAAGTATTTTCTAAAAAAAAAACTAGTCTCTCCTGGCCTGCTCCTTCCTTCTTTCTTTCTTTCCAAGTAACTGGTAACGAAGAATAGCATCTTCGAGGAACGTGACATTCACTCGTATTCGGTCGTGCGGATGATCCTCATTGCGTCATAGGATCTTCGCTGTTAAAATTTCGAGAAAGACTCATCACGAGTCTGTTTGTGATTTATTGAGTCATCCTCTGCGGCGGTACTGGGTCAGTGGTTATTGGCAATAAACCCAAGTCAGTGTGATCAGCCTCTGGCTCTAGTGCGTCGATGCCTCTTATTTTCTGTATCCTGTACCAAATGAGATCCCTAGCAGGTCTACGAAGAACAAATAGTCCAAAAACAAGAACGCCCTGAAGTGCATTCACCAGGTCGAATGCTGACCAGGCAAAGCTGTCACTACCGGTGCACCACGAGATCAATTCCATAACCCAGTTAAGGCTCATGTGCAAAAATAAGATGATGCATACGATGAATGTCCTTTTGAGACGTTTAAACAATCTCTGCTCCTCGCGATCAGCCTCCTGGTTCCTGGCAAGAAGTCTCAGGTCGATGTCCTTCTGGTACCTAGCTATGCTCACTGCTGTCATTACAAAGAGCACACTGTTCGCCAGGAGCAGTAGACCCAGCGGTACGTAAAAATACGGCATGGCGTCACGATCAGCTGAAATCAATAATTAATCATGAAAATCATTACCTCAAAATCTTTTACAGCAATTTTCAGGTACACCCACATTCAAACCAGCAACCATGTGCACCGAATTGGGGCTTCACGTAGGAACTAGGAACCGTCGGGTTCAACTTCAACGTCATACAGATGAGGATCAATATCATTGCGGGTCCCCAACTCCAGACTGAGTAATAGAAAAATAATCTTTTCGACTCTGTGGATCTTCTGCAGGAGCCATGCTTCACATGACGTTTCACCATTAACCATGTCTCTATGCATATCACGTTCAGCCAGAAGAAGCACGCGACAAACGAAAACTGGATGACGAATGCTGAAAGTGGAATGATTACATGGACCTTCAGTTTTCAGTATTGAACCAATACGGTAATTTCTTCGACTGTTACATACCTATCGAGACACAAGCCTGATCCGACAGATGAGAACTGGCTAGTTGTGTAATGGCAAACGTTGTAAGAGCCAATGCAAGACAAGCACAGTAATGACACAGAGCCTTCCCATAAATGTCCATGAGCTTAGAAGTGATGCAGTATAGTACTATGGTGGTAACTAGAAATACTGCTGAAATTAAAAGACCAAAAGCGTAAAAAACGATCTTGACATCCGCTCTGACGACTTCAGGCTCTGCAAAGGAATATAAATTCAACGTTAGCCTTGCAACAAATACAAACTTCAGAATTGTGAAGACATACCTTTTGGAAAGCATACCAGCACCCTTAAACCTTGTCCAGGTATTATGTCCATACAGTAATCCTGCCTTGGTACCAGCATCACAGGCATCGGTAGTGGAAGATATACAGATCCATTGAGTAGTAGATAATACTCATCCTCACTTGACTGTTCAGGTTCCAGGATGTACCTATGTGAAGTATTCATTCTATAAGGTCAAGACACGAGGATTTTACCTTGTGACGACTTATCTTGCAGGGAAATACTCGACCTCTTTTTTTTGTATTCATTTGAAACTACTCGAATCATACTAATATAAGGCGAAAGATTATAAGAATTATAATATATTATAAGAATTATATTCAAATGGATTATGATGAGTAAAATTTATATTAGGGATTTCCAGTTTTTTTTAATTTTAAAATCATACTTACTTTCCATACTGACATGGATCACCGACAAGAGCCACAAATTTGTCTTTCTTATGTCCTGGATCAAGCAGACCCGTCCTATTGAAGTCATTGAAATACGGTGAAAATATTTTTTCCGGAAGTGACGATGGTGACGACGTCGTCATTGCCTCTTCTGGCTCAATCAAGGACGGCAGGATGATTGGATCGACACATAAACTTGTCCCTTTCTCATCTTTGGTCATTATTTGACCTACTGGACAACATTTTCCAACCAGTGGTAGCCTCGAGTACTCTTGCGATATCGATTCGTTCTGAAAAATCAGAAAGATACTCATTGTAACTAGGATAATGTCCCTCTTGTATGTATTTTTTATTCGTCATCGTGTTGCTAAATGTAAGGTTCGAAATCAATTATGGAAAAAAAAATACATCTATGGATGATGCTTGGGAGATATTTGACATTATTTAAGCCGAATCAGGGATTTAATCCAAGATAGGCAGTTTACCTTATGACGGAGCCTAGATATATTTGTTTAAAAATGTATCATTCAAAAACAATTTTCTTGTATTGACATTATTCCGTTTGATACTTTACGTGATTTCCTTGTATAAATGTACTCGGATCGTGCAGGGAGTGTCAGGTTACGATAAGATAGAAGAATTAGAAAAAATAAACCTGCTTAAAAGCCTTGCGATAAATCCAGTCGAAAATTTCTACGTACTACTCCAGGTACTTATTGGATTGGAATTTTTATTAAAAAATTAATAGAAAGACTAAGACTCATTGATCGATGAAAGATGTTTACGGTTTTCTATTTCATCTAGCTGCATGTCGAGGAGCTGATAACGATTGGTGAATAAAAATTCGTGTGAATTTCGTGAACCTTTCGCAACGATGAAAATCGATATGAATTATCTAATAAAGAATTTGATATCGAGAAATTCGATACTTCGATTATTAGCCTCGACCATTATCACGATTTTAATCGAAATACAAATCCCATTCTCTTATCGCAAAGTGGCCAATGGAATTCCTGGCAGCAAGGGAACGGCACTGATGTGTTTTCAGGAAAACTTAGAATTCACAGCAGGCGGTTATCTGGATAGACTCAGGCTACTCAAATCGATAGACGTCGTACTAAAAATAATTTTACCAAGAATCGTTAGCCAGCCAATCGTTCTTTTCCGAACATTTATGTAATTATCGATAAAGAGGGGCGTGTCTTGTATTTTCAGTAAAATACAAAAATTGATAACCCATTGAAATCAACGTTGAACCTCAACTGTCATGATAAATCTATGTGAGACATGTTTTTGATATTGAAAAACGTATTTAAGGCATAGTTAAATGCAAAGTAAAGATATGTGGGCATACACTTGTTGACATTATTGGAATCTCTTATGAATAATAAGAATAACCAGTTTGACAACTCGTACCAATAAGAAACGAGTATCAACCTAAATTTTGACTTACCAATGGAAACGAGAGAATCGTGAGACTCTTGCTGGACGATCCTTGTACGAAGTTGGTGTTGAGATCGATGAGGAAGAAGATACCGAATATAATGAAATGAGATAACGGAAGCCCATGGAAGTACGACATAGCTTCACAATAAAGTCACAGAATAAACACTACTGAATCATTAATCCCTGTCAGTCGTATAATACAGTAATTGGAAAACTCTCATAAGGTGGGAAAACCAGTTATCAGATAGGAACTGATTACGCCAACAAAGCAGAGAGCTTATTAAAGGATCGCGAATATCCTTGATCCTTGTGAAAAATCCCTACGTTGCGTTTATTAAAAACTGTTTATAATGATATTAAAAAGAAGATGTTTGAAACACTCTTAGCTCACTCCTCGAACTTTTGATTAAATTCCACGTGAATCCTCATCGTCACGTTGCACCTATCACCCATCTGTTCGTGTCTTCGATAAGAGAAGAAGAGAGCAGGCAAAATAAAAATAAAATAAAACCATCTGAGACACAAATATTAACGTTCTCCGACGAAAATGAGAAGACAATTTTTCGGCAGGACACATGTAGTGTCATGAATTTGAAATCAGTCGGATTTACAAAGAAAGCGAGGGAAAATCAAAAGACGATATGAATCCTTCGGACACTGCTCTAAATAAAGGTAACAATCTCTGAACGTCTATCATGAACTACGAAAGTCACTTGTCACTACTTGTTCTTTCTTCTCGTCTTTTGAGCCACTGTCTTTTTATTCGGTGCAAGGATTCGGGAGAAACCAATTTACGAACTCACGCACCGTAAACAACACTGGGCTACCGGAGAATCCATCCCCAACACCTACAGACCGATCGAAGTCTCAGACGGTACTGACTGTGTTTCTCGTCACTCTCGTCGCTTTATGTCGCTATCGGACACGCCGTGCCAGACGAGAATCTTACTAGCGGCACACGCGTCACCATACTATGCATGTTACATATGTTCCCCAGTCTGTGTATTCGTCTTTGGTGCGTGCATTCATGAGTGAGCAGAGTAGCTACTTATACTTTATTAAGAATCTTCTGCATACGATCACGAGCCTCTCTACTTAGTTTATAGTTAAAAGGTTAATTTACTGTACTAGGAATAGCCGATTTCTGTTACCCGTTCGTACGATGACTAAGGACAGACGCGTGGAGGCGGGAAGTTTTAGAGGAACTCGCCGAATTAGTGACAGTAAAAAACTACGAAATACGTCAGCAGTCGAGAACGTAAACCATTGACCGTGTCAATGAAAAGAGGTATGAACTCAGTCTTAGGGTAATTGGTTGGAGTAGTCAAATGGATATTAAGGAATTATTCAAACATGGCTGCTGTATGTACGTATGCCTGTTCGCAATCAGAATGTTGAATTGCAATGAGTAAAGAGGTTACATATATACATTTAATATGGTAACAATGTGTCCTGGTGAATTACGAAATCGTGAATTCCTATCGATGAATCAGTGTGGCGAAGTCATGAAATCCCGCGTTGGTACAAAAATAGATTTGCCAATTGGGAATCCTACGGGTTTTCGTGGAAAGGCTGTAGCACCGGATTCGGTGTAGTAACGATGCGTAGGTTTCCTTTAACCAAAAACGGGGGCGCCTAGTTGGGGGTCAAGTGCTCCAGGAGAAATCATGTAGTGGAGGTGTACTGCTGTGTGGGCCTCGTAAACTTTTCTTACAAAGAATCTCTACCAATTGGCCGGAGGCTCTATCGATCGTTATTCACGGATCTACGAAGGCTATGATGGTCTATCCCTTCTCCATTCTGTATTCTCTACCTTCCTCTTACGTCACGACGCATCGTCATTATTACAAATTTGGGATCCAGAATTACATGGAACGAAATTCTGATAGAACAGCTGAGAACGTTGTACAGCCTCCTTCGATACTGCGTGGGATATGCGAAAAGAAATAGACAAACACAGTTTATTAAGCAGAGACGTCGAGACGTGTGAATAATTGTAGTGAAGATCTTGCCAAATGTAATTATAGCTGGTGACGTGACATAATGTTGGGTACACCTGAAATCAGCTTAGTAACACACGTAACACGTACAAGTGGGCACTGTGATCGGTGAAGCTCTGACGACCTGTTTTGGGACGCGATATGTAAACGTAGGCATAAATATAAGTCACATGTAATCCTTTCGAGGGGATAACGATAACAGAGTTACTGGATAAGCAATGACGTTATAATCAACGATGCGGAGAGTATAGATTTACCGCCGGATAAAATGAATATTTTCTGCCAGCTTTAGGTGCCGTGTGTGTAACCTAATTTAACGAATACTAGAAGCCTAGAGTTACAAATTTTTTGACTGATTTATTGATCCTGGAGAGACGCCATAAATCCTCGAATGTCAAGACTCATTCTCACGTGCGACCTCGGTTCGTGGACATTCCATTCTTTTATTTTTCTTTAGGAACACGCACGACGTCAAACTCATAAAATAAATCCAGGTAGTGAATGTGGTCCATTATTATATTCCGTCTGGTTTAAATCTGTCTACGCAGAAATTTAATTATCATGAAGCTAAATATAAAAACCTGTGAACTTCCCTGATGAATTGATTGATTTATAATGAATGCAAGACATACGTCAATTTCCAGCAGAGCACGTGCTACAAATGATGCAAGAGTAAACGTACTGTCTACGTCATTAGGTCATTAACTCATTACGAATGTCACGCAAAATCCCTGGACAGTCACTGCAGTATCGTCAAAGGTGACGGATGGTACGACTTCACGGCAGCCTTCAGTAATTTCTATACCTTTCTCTGATACAGGCGCAAAATGAAAATTATCTCCATCCAAGCATTAACCAGGTCGATAAGCCAAATAATTAGTGAAATTCATCCCGGCGATTAATCTCTGGAACATGGATCCCCCGACAGTCTAATCGTGTGGATAGACTTTTCCAATTATTATCAAGTATCCAGATCTCAACAGACTCTGAATCGCTAGTCTTCTTCTAGGTGTCAGGGACCTGTAGTTACTGTGCCATTCAGCAGCACTGCTAAACCTTAACCAGGTCTCACTGATCAGTCCTGTAACAGAGAAACTATGTATTCAACTGTACACTCGCTCTCACCTACGTACCTACCGGCTTCTCTGCATGTACCGACGAGCAACAGCAGCACCCACGCAAGAAACATCCACCAGTTGGCGCATTGGTCTGTCGGTAAGGTCAGGTAGAACGTTCAAGCATTACCGTCATGGTTTTTTAACGAAAGCAGAAACCGAGGGATGAGTCGAAGTACGGAGCAGCTATTCACCAAGAGTAGGAGTTATGTAGGTACAAGTAGGAATACCAGGATGCCCGGAGTAAGAGTAACTGAGAGAGTACCATATGAATGCAAGTAGGATGAGACGGTGTAGAAGGAGAGAAGGAACTGAGGGGAAACTAACCTTCCAAAGGGAACGGTGCGTCTGGCTGGGTGAGCAGGGGGAGGTGGAGGAGAAGGAGGAGGTGCCAGCTAGGGTGGTAGTGACGCTGATGAAGGCAGCGGCGGTGGAGGCGGTGGAGACGCAACGCGCAAGGCTCCGTCAGTAGCTCCCAGGCAGTGACTCCGCGAGTAACGATGTATAAGCCGCTTGTTCTCCTGACTCGCTGTTATGTCACCGGTGACAATTCCTCGGGTGCAGGATACTGATGCAGAATCCGGTACGCGTGTCCCACCCGATCTAGTTTAAAGGAGAGCAGCTCTCGACTGAAAGAAGTAAAGAGTGACTGGTGAAATATTTACCCAGGATGAGTACTGAGTGTAGACGATACTCTGTTTACCGTTGACGCGCAGATACACGGAGCCAGTGCGCAGTCCTCTAGTGATGCCCGACTTTGGCGGACATCGTCCCGAGTAAACTAGTTGTCCTGGTTTATCGAGTTACCCTGCTACCATTTATACACCGTGATTAACAGCTTCCCCATGGGATGTGGAACTAATGCCTATGTTTAATTAGAACTGCCATTTATAGTGGCCAATCGTGCTTTCACTGAGAAACTAATACAAGCTACGGAATCCTCGTATCCCTTGTCCACCTTCTTTTTGATTGTCAGAATTTCACCTGCAGACTCCTGGGGGGTGATTCGAGACGGGCGTGTCGCGATCGATCAGCCACGTTAGCAAAAGTATAAAATTTATTTTTAGACAAGTAAATATCACGGTAGATTGCACAAGGCGGACTTCAATTTAGACTACTAATTAAAATGCTAATTATCGGCAGGTCTGCGACACATGACGTAAGAACAGTCGTTGCTCGCAGCTACGAGCACGAGAAGCACGAGCCGTGCTTGGCGACTCGTCGAGGCTCGTACTAAACCGAATCGGTCGTCTTCGGGTAACGTCGTGCATACTCACGCGATAGAAACCCGAGATACTCTTGTGCTAGAAGAAAGAGAAAATAAAAAGGTCAAAATCTAAGTGCCATTTGTACTGACAACGTTGAACCGTGTGGCACGAAGATGAGGCACTGTGTATAGTTCTCTGGCGATAGTGCGAAAAGCGATTTTTAAGGAGAATGATCAATCATAATCGATCCGGGTGTTATCGCTGATCCAGGATTGGTTCGAAAACCTCGAGGAAGAGGACGAGGGTCACACGTACGGTTGGATGGAGTGATGAGCGGGGCCCCTGCTAGGGGCACAACGCCCCGACGTCAAAGACGCCATCAACGTCATCATCAGCATAATAATAATCATCAGCGTCATCATCACCATCGTAGACATCAAAAGGGACTGCAGTCCGATCAAGAAGGCAGCGAACACGAGGAGAAGCGTCCCAAGGTCAATCCTATATTCCTGTGGGCGCTGCAACGTGAACAGAGGATCGTGGAGGTACGCTGTGAGGATTACGATAAGAGGAATCGTATTAAATTAACTAAAACGGCGCAAGGATGGCGTTCCATACCCAGGACCGTGTCGAATGTCATGTTCGAGTCGTTGAGTCGTTCCAGGTCCGAGAAGGAAAATGGTGCGGAGGTTACTCAGCCTGGAGAATCAAGTGGATCTGTTCAGACTGGACACCCTGTAGACGGTGTACGAAATTCTCTACAGAGTGTACAGAGCGTGGAACCCGATGAGACTGCAAGAAGCAAGACCAGAGAGGATATCGCTAGTATTGAGGTTGCTGATTCTCGTATCTCTAGACATTGTGATTTCCATGCACAGGATCTGAAATATGGTCGCAAGGTCGTTAGATATACTCGCAAAACAGAGAGGTACCGTCGCGATTTGGACACTGTCCGTAAGGATCGATTGCTACAACCACGCGTCGTTCTGGAACAGCTCCATCTCTCGCAGCTACCAGAGAGTTCGCAGAGGAGCGTCGACCGCTTATCTAAACATGTCCACAAGGATGTCGAAGAGATCGATGAGGATGAGTCTCCTGTGAGAGAGGAAGAGGAGGCTACGAATGATGAGAGTGCAAAACATCCGGAAGTCGATAAGGAGGATTTACAAGATATTCTAAATATGCTGGACGCTACGGCTTCACCTGCATTAGCTACTGATACACCTAGTGCAGATCTGCCCAGTCCGAACTCCACTAAAACCTGCAACGAATTCGAATCCAGTCCGACCATAGAGAAGGTTAAAGATACCGAGGATCCTTCTGTGGATCTTCAAGGCGAAGTAGATCAGGACGAAGCGAATAATTCCAATGGAATTATTTCATCTGATTCAATCAAGGACGTTAATGCTGAGAATTCTGACCTCTTGAACAAGGAGACCAGTCAAGATTCTCGCGGGAGTGGTGAATCTAATATTAATGAGATTAAGAAAGGAGCAGGGAGTGTCCAGGAAATGGGGGAAGTGGTACGCTCGAAACTAGGGCTGGAAACTGATCCGAATCCGGATGTGGACAAGTCATTGAACTGTCTTTTAAAATGGCGCAACGCCATGGTGATGACCCCGGCGACATCAGTGGCGTCGAACAGCGAATACGCCAGTAGTAACGGGGAAGAATCCAGTAAGGATTACAATGACAGTACGAGGATTTTGAAAGCCCTGAGAAACACACCAGGATTATCCGTCTCTATAGCGACGAGAGTCCAGAATCCTGAGGAGTCACGGAACTCGTGTCCCTCGACGAAATCCTTAAACTCCTCTGTACTCTCCTCTGGAAGATCATCGACTGGCCTCAAGTCGTCGACCTCAGAGACGAACGAACGCCCACTTGAAAAGGACGAAAGAATTCACAAGCCGGTTTCCCCCGGGTCTGTCCCTACGGAGGTAGAGGATCAACCCCCCGCGGATGATCCTTGTAATATTCCAGCTAGACATTTAGCTGGACTCTCTATTACCATTCCTAATTATCGTTATAGACCACAGAATAATTCTAGCATTACTATAACTGCCGCTAATCGACATACTGACTCACCTGAAAGCACTGTTAATATTCCTAAGGTAGATCCTACTGGTGAGAATAGATCAATGAATTTTGATGAGGTTTCCCATGTTGAGGAATTGGAGGAGGAGGATGACGTAGTGGAAGAGGAGGAAGATGATATAGAGGAAGAAGAAGATGAGGATGAGGATGAATACCCTGAGGAGGACGAGGACTGCGACTCTCAGGTCTTGGAAGATCTCAGAAAGCATAATGGCTTCGCGCACAAGAATGGAATTCCATGGAGGAATGGACATCCTCAGGATCAGGAAATGGAGGACAAGAATTTTCAGAGTTCCAAGAGCAGAAACAGCGAGGCCGTAGCAAAGTCTAACAAGTATCAGGACCTGGAGCACTTTGATGAACAAGTCCTTGAAGAATTAAGATCACAGGGAACTGTAGTTTCGCCGCAGCCCAGTGGGATACCATCATCCCCAGCTTCTAGAAGACCGTCCTCTGCGTATCTAGAGAGATTACTTCCTAGTCCACCTTGTTCAGTATCTTGCTCCGAAGACGCTAAAAATGATCTCACATTAAAGGGCATCCTTGCGTCTCCAACACAATTGGTCGAGGCGACCAGCAGGAGTCACGACTACGATCGCATCAAGGAACGAGAAGTCTCTAGGAATAGTCAAAGAATGGTCAATCAGATGCAGAGACCTCGGTATGAAGATGCACGAGGTTCAGGGAGGCCCATGTCCAGTGGTGACGTTCATACAATGTTATACGGCTCAACAGATCGTGTCTCCTCCAAGCGACCAATGTCAGCTGAATGGACCACATCATCCAGACAAAAGATCCGCGCTGGACCAGACATGACGTTCTTCAGGAGCATTCCCAAAAGAAGCAGACACTTCGAGAAGATCCAGGATCCTGCGAACGAGCTACGAGAACTGATAAAGACCTCAGGCCATCTTATTCCCGACCCATTGCTCGTACCAAGAGACTGCTTACCTGCCTTGGCAGCCGCACCCTCTACTGAAATTCCAAAGCTCTTGGCTTCAAGACCAGAGCTAAGACTACCCGAGGCCCTGACCAGGCCCGAATTGCTTCGCGATCCTGATCTCCTGGTCATATCGTTGGTGCATCTTCAGCACGTCCTGGATCACGGCGAAGGACCGGTCTCCAGGAGTCAATTACAATACCCTGCGCCCCAGGGAAAGGAGTCAATTGGTGCCCTCACTGGATCGGTAAACAATAACGAAAGAACTCATGGAAAACCAAAGCTAACCTGTAAACCGATAGGCACCCTAATGCCAGCCCCAATTGACCTCTCAAGTAACCGACGCGGTAGTCCTTATCCTGCCTTGCTGAGGGTGCGCAGCGGATTAGTAAAGCAGGAACCGGAAGTGACGTCAACAGCGAGTTCGCCGGACGATTCGCAGCTCTGGCATCCTCTGTTCGGAAGGTAATAACTTATAATCATCCACATCGTGTCCACACATTCTAAACTGTATTCAGCCCATCTTTCATGCATTCTATAACCATATACGCTTACCTGCATGCACATTCGATCCCATCTGTATTATAAGGGCTGCTTAAAGCCTCTAACGATAGTGACACGCGTCATTTACATTTTAATGACGTCCTTAAAGATGAGCTCTCCCAGCCGTTTCTACGTTAAGCGATAACGAGTCGATTCCTTTGCCCTCTTGTTTTCTCCCTTCCTTAAATATTTCAAATTAAACGAGCTAAATTGCTTTATACATATAAACATATTACTGAAGCTTGCCTACCTCTCTATACATACATACTTTACTCGCTCTTCCTTCCTGACGACGGATCACCATTTAAAAAATACAGACCAAAGAGTTCGAGTGTCCCTCATCGTGTGAAATATACCGTATCCCATACCCCACATTCCACAGAGTAAATGCGCAGCATGTAGGCGGTTATGCTTAAACGATTGAATTGCTGAACTGAAAAAAAAAAGGGAAATATTAACAAACCAACGGCCTGGTTCTTCGTTCAGAGGCCATGGCGAGCTATTGAAATACATAGTAGTAGGTAGCAAAGTGAGTGTCGCCAGGACTCTATCACATTCTCCCTTTCTCTCTCTCTCTCTCTCTCTCTCTCTCTCTCTCTCACATTTAAGTTTATCTGCATCTCGCAATCAGCCAGTCTCTTTCTCCCTCTATAAGAATACAAGATACGATGCATATCACATTCTCCCTTTCTTAACAAACCAACGGCCTGGTTCTTCGTTCAGAGGCCATGGCGAGCTATTGAAATACATAGTAGTAGGTAGCAAAGTGAGTGTCGCCAGGACTCTATCACATTCTCCCTTTCTCTCTCTCTCTCTCTCTCTCTCTCTCTCTCTCTCACATTTAAGTTTATCTGCATCTCGCAATCAGCCAGTCTCTTTCTCCCTCTATAAGAATACAAGATACGATGCATGCGCGATCAGGGCCGTGCTTAAATAATTGGCACTCGAAAAGTGGGTCGAGTCTCGTCGCTCTAACGGAGTTCCTTTTCGTCCTACGTTTCATTGTTCACGCTTACGTAAGGCTAGCGATACGACAAATAAAACAAGATATCTGGTAGTATCAGCGCAAAGTTCTTTCATTACACGGCCATACGTTTAAAAGAGCCTCTCTAATCCTTTGAAGCGAACCTAATAACATCGGATATAGAGTTTCATTGTGAGAGAACCAAGAAGTATAGTCAGGTCGGTACAGTTAACGTTATCGTGGAGTACGAGAATAGTTTTAAAAATGTATTCAAGGCAAACGACTAATTGCACATAAAGGATCGATTAGTAATTACTTAATTAACAGTGTGTAATGGTTGCTAATGGGAAACCGATAGATCTTAGACTCAATGCTGGAGGTATAAATTCTAGTTGAAATAATGATTTCGAGTAGTGTATACATGGCGTAGATCGTAACGGCGTAGGATCAGAGATCCAAGAGAGAAAGAGAGTGTAGGAGAGAAGGCGACGCGAGGATCGTAGCACACGGGTCATTGGTCCCCGAGTGGAACCTTCCGTCCCGATCGTTCGAGCCACCTATACTGCACCGAGGGGAGTTCGGTGTGAACGCCCCTTAAGGCGGATCGATGTGTGCGGGTGCTTAAGGAATCGTTAGAGAGCATAGCTCTCGGTCAATGGTCTCCGTTTTACTTGTTTCCTTTAAAATTGCCGCCAATATTTAGTTCTTCCTTTTGCCCATAATTCCCTCCAGCACGCTGCTGCTCTTCTTCGTGATCTCGTTCTTCGTCTTCGCCGTAATCTGGAATACATGTGGTAACAATCAGTAATGAAGTACTTGGGCGGATGATCGCGAGTGGATACAGAAAAATTGGGATCTTTGAGATTACAAGGACGTGCAGGGTAAACTATGAATAATCTGACAGAGATTTCTGCCATGGAAACGAGCCCTAGATGGGATCGATGTGTACGAGGGTGAACTTGTGGGAGTGAATATTAGTACGTGCATGCGAGGAAGTGCAGACAGATGATAGCGAGAGAGGAGAGGAGAGGAGTGGAGTGGAGGAGAGGTATATTTGGTTAAAAGGTTCCTATAGCGTACGAATGCCGTACGCTTGCGCGCAGTGAGAACCTCGATCGATTACTACTAGCAATCCCAGGTCGGTTATTATGAAAGCGAAGGTGGATAACTCCTGGCATGCTCTGACAGACATCAGCTTCTAATGCTAGTATTCTACTGATATACCTTGGATTCGATAATATCGATGTATCGAGCTGATATTCTGTCCTTCAGTCGAGTTGCCATTCTTTGTATACTCTATGATTTTCGTGCTCTGCAAAGACTTTGTTGGTCTGCCCTTTTTATATCCTTGCAACGTCGTGCTAATCGAGAGCCTTTCTTTGTCTTTACTTAAAAAAAAAAAAAGAAAGAGGGATGTAGTATTATTAGAACGCTTTTGCTTCGATCGACTATTCATATTTTATTGGTTACCCTGGAGTCGTATCGTATCTTCAATTATTTATAATTCAGCGTGAGACTTTGAACTGAGCTATCGTCGAGTATTCATTCGACACCGTCATCAAAATCTTATTAGTCCTTGCTGTAAATTTTCCGAGCTAGAACAAATAATGTACAGAGTTGTTCAGTTTATGTGCACCAGGTGAATCAGATTTTTTTAATATCCGTTTATTGTACTTACAGTCAGAAGAGACAACAGCAGCAGCACCATGCATCCTGGCACAGGACCACCCTGGCGTCCTGACATGCGTGATCTCGATCCTGATCCCGTGCTCGACCTCCACTTTGATCCTGGGGTATTGGATACCTTTTGCGATCTGCGGTCTTTTCTACCAAGTAGAAGGACCCGGGCTCGACTTCGGGTAGCAGGATTGACGGCTAGTGCAATTCGTGAGGCGACATCCTGATGCAGCCAGGATTTTTGAAGTATGATTCGACAGGAAGAGAATCCTCGCGAGGGTCTTCCTGTTAACATCCTGGATTGTGGTGTTGTCCGAACGAGCCCCTAAGTCATTAAGACTCATTAATCCTATGTTTCTCTTTACTTAACCTGAAAAAGGATAGATGAAAAATATATTGATAGATTTAAAGACTCACGTCTTGGGACTTGCGTGCAATAGGCGTTCGCCGCGTCGAAAGCATTTTTTTCGTTTTCTAAAAATAATTTTTTAATGAGAAAAGTAAAATGGTGGACATGAGAATATGGCAAGTGACGCGACGTTCGATAGGTGCTATTCGGTAGCTTAAAATTATGGGAATGTGTGATGTGAGATATAGAGGTATGGAAAGAGAAGGACGTGTGAAGGAATAGAATTCCAAAAGAAATTAAAGAGACAGATAAACGGAAATGTGTAGATAGACTTCTTACGATTAGATAGGAAAAATGTTATATACTTTGGCTGTTGCAAGAAAAAGTGAATCAATCAACGTTTAGTTCTTCCTCTGGAAATTACAAGACACCCAAAACTAGTACTCCAGCACTTTCTCACGGCTCGTGAAAGAGAATTTTTTTTTTTACACAGTACGGAAAGGCAAATGCCTAAAGAAAAATTAAATAAATTAACATCAGACACAACGACGGACGCCTTGCAGTTTCTTTTCGAAATGGCGTTCAGCGGCTTCTTGTCATTGCGTTCGACATCATGAGATCACGAAATCACATAACCTTACTGTCATTCATTAATCCTTTGGTAATCGATGACTCGCTCGCATCCGGTACAAATTTGTACTTGTTTATTTATTGTAAAATCGGCTGTAAGATCGCGAGTGACAGAAACACATTAATTGCACGAACTAACGATTAATCATTAACGATTGTGAGGATACGCGAGGTTTTTATCGAACTTGACTGTTTAGCCTCTAGATTCTATTAGTTATGTAAGAACGATTGAAACATTATTTTGTTGATATATACATAAATATATATATATATATGATATTGATTATAAATCATAAATTAACCTGTAAATATACAAGACCAAACAGTGATGAGTTTAGAAAATATTTATTTATCTCACCCTAATCGACCCTCGTACTCTGTCCCCTTTAAGGATGTATATTATTTTTTATTCACAGCTGTATAAATATTTCAGTACATAATTTCGATGAAAGAATTATTTACCGTGTATCTTACGTTCCTCGAATATTTCTAGTGTGGATTTCGCTCGTAAGAGATATGCGAATGTAAGTCGAGCTACTCCAAGTACTGGCATCGAAATACTAGAGGGGTCTTTAGACCAAGATAAAAATCCACTTACTTGTATGAATACGTAATGACTAAAATAGCTGCGAAGAGTAAACACAGGTGAATGTGAGAAGCGTAGAATTTTAAAAGAATTTTCAGAAAAAGACCGTTAAACGACGTAATACATTAAGTGTATTCCGATATGGAAAAGGCTGGAAAAAATTAAGGGATAAAGCCTAGAGATGCTAGCGTGGGCGTAATATGATCATGACACTAATTTCTGAGGTGTCACACATTTTAACTCACAATCACGTTTACCATTCATCCATGCGTCTCCTTTGAAATTTGGAACAAGAGTTTACCCTAACTTCAATAATTTAACACAAAAGTAATTTTTAATTCACTAGGCTTCCTTTAGAGCATTCCTTAGGGTCACGTCACGACAATACTCTGTATAAAGAGGGTAACACAGTACAAGAATTCATTATCCGTTGGCATAAAGATATTTGTACAATCAACAGAAGGTAGAAGAATTGAAATCTTATAACGGATGCCATCGGATCAGTCGGCATACAGTTGCTCGTTGGTTAAGTTCCCTGTCGTCAGATTTATACGTTAGATGGCACTAGTGTCGCTTGCTACAATGATGGCGCGCAAGCCGCCTGTCGGCGTCAGGCCGTCCCTTAAGGAGGTTGCAGATCAATAAGTTGATTTGCCGAACGTCATAAGAGGCACCGAGAAAGCAGAAGACGCCTAAGACAATCAGGATAAAATCGAGCAAAAGATAATCCAGTCGAGGGTGTGTCCGAATAATCGTTTGATCTTAATAGGGGGAGCCTTTCGTTCAGTACCGGTGGCCATTTTGTTCGCGAGGAAACGCGTGCGGGGCCCGAGGGGACGACAAATGGAAAGTAGTCGAGGAGTCGCTGTCGAGATCACGGAGTGTTCCCTGTGTACGCTAGTTTTGTGTCTGTAGTGCGCTTCCACATGTTAATAGATAAATTCGTCATATATAAAAACAACGTGTCTGGTGGTCAGGCGCTAACACGGGTTAGGCGGCTCGAGTAACTCGGTGAAAAATAAATCGGGGCTTTCTGATTGGTCGAGATAAAAAAATCCGCGAAGCCTCTTCGGAGCCGAAACCGATGGCGCAGTCGTGCCGATGCTAGTTGCTGGCTGGTAGTTAAGGGTGACGTAGCGTGACGCACTTGGCGTAGGGAAACGTGGTGCGCGATTTCCCCCAGTAGCGGCGCCAGAGGTCACTAGCCTCACTCGACTTGACGCTTCTGCTCCCATTCGCGAAATTCGACCGGTTGCCGGCCGAGTCTACGTCGAAGAAAGACGTCACGTTAACATTCCATTACGTTACGTTACGTTACGTTAAACGCAAGTTCGCCGAAAGTCATGGAAATCACCACGAGTCTTTCTGCACTCACTCCGTTAATTCTCGAAGAATCTGACAGTCTCCGGCTTTGATCCTTAAAGATCTTGAAGAAATATCATACACGGCGGTGCTCGCGAAACTACGTGCGCACCAGCTTCCTTCATTCTTTTATTCTCTCTTTCTGTCTCTTGGTCTGATCTCCCTCTACTATCCTCGGCGACATCCTCCTGCCTCTCTGACCGGCACAACTCCGTTGCACTTTCTTTTTACTCTCTTTTTCTCTCCATTATTATATCCCATCTCTCTGTCTCTTACTAGCTCGCTCTTTTTAATTCTTTATTCCCTCCTACCGCGAGAATGCAGTGGCGAGGTTATGAACGGTCGCAACGTCGAATACGTGGGGTGTCCTAATGCCTCGGGACGACGAGGTATACCATTAGATTCTCAGGAGAGGTTCACTGTGTCTTTTTCGTGTTTCTTTGACGTATCAAGGATAATCCGAAGACGCAACGTTTCAAGCCAGTGCCAAGTTAAGTTATTACATCGTCGCCGTATGTGCAGTACATGGGATAAAATGGAGCCTACTGCTGTAATCAGTCGATAAACCGTCAGGACTGTAGCTCCTTATAGCCTTCCACGAAATTTAGTGTTCAAGTGTAGTAAAGAGACATCGTGCAAGACATCGTCCCTCTTTCTGCTGTCAATGTGAAATCAGATCCGGACGAGAGGACGTGTCGATCTTCGTAGAAGAATTACTTCAAACATAATTTGCTCATTTAACCACTGAGAGGCGAAGTCGTCGGTATCCAGAGTGTTATTCCCATAAGAATACATCAAAGACTGGAAATTCTACCAGGATTCGATGGAGATAAGGTTAATCATTTAATTAATTATCAGACTCATGTCTCTTGGAATATTTCTAACCTCTCGTATCGTCATGGATGTCATTGTTTTTAGTCATGAGCTATGCACGGCTACGGAGTCCTCGCTACACTCTCCTGGTAACGTAGAACTCATCTAGCTGCTATGTGCTGTGATTTATCGACGGTGTTGTCATTCCTCGTTTGATCGATCCATAGAATCGTTGGTAAAGCATTCCGTTTATTGTGTATATTTAGTCTCACTGTAATATTACAATTCGTTCTTTGATAAGATAACTGAAGCAAACTGTTAATTGAAAGAAGTACAATTCTGAACGGACTGTCGAAGGATTTAAAGGATTTGTCCGAGGAATATTATATACAAGATAATCGTTCCTGAGAATACCTCTGACCTTTACAAGGGCATTCTTTGCGCGTGGAACATGTCGCCGCGCAGTGCTTAAGAGATAATTCCATAATGCTGCTGTGCCGTTAGACGTCATTCCAGAACGCACCGGAGAATAATCGTGTGAGTGATTGGATGAGATAAAAATGCTACGAGGAATAGATCGTGTATGAAAGACACATCCTCCAGGCTTTCGCAATGGCGGAAGATCAAGGGGACTCAATGGTAAATGGAACAAAGGTTGAGCAACTTACTGACGGTCAAGCTGATATTGCACTTGTGGATGCATCGACAGAGACACCGGCAGGATCGTCTGCAGGAATCCGGGACGATAAAGCGAAGAACGGAGATTCTCATACGTCTGTGTTGTCCATTGTTACGCCTTCCAGTAACGAAAATCCGCTGACGGAAAGTTGCAATGCGAATAAACTAGAAGAGACCGTGGGCACGGGGGAGTCAGAGGTTAAGAAGCTTCCTGTGGAAACGACATCTTCTAATGAAGAAAAGCCCATAGACAGCCATGAACGTACCGAGACGATAAGTACGCAGAAATGCGAAAACACGGTTGAGGAAGCTGTGACCAGTAGGAAGATATCCGTTGCCAAGGACGACGTGACGCGTCAGGAAGTCACAGGAAATGAAGAAAAGAAGAACGAGGAAAGTCCAATCAGGCCGGAGAACGAGACGAATGTAGAGGTCACCATTTCCGAAGAGGAAGAGAGACTGAATGAGATCTTGAAGAGTGCCCCGTGCGATGACGCCCTGAAGCCACTTGAAGAAGGTGTCCTAAAGAAGGAGGAAGATAGAGGTCGAGAAGAGAAAAGTGCATCTCTTGAAAAGAATATCGAGAATGTTGACACGCGAGAATCCGAAGATCGGGACGAGGAGAGTAAAAAGGTTAAGGTGCAAGTCAACGAATCTTATACCGACATGCAATCAGACATCAAGAATGTGGTGATAAAGAGTAAAGGATCGCCGGATAGACGTAACCTGAGGAAGGCATCTCTTGAGCAGTCAAAAATCAGTGACGATGAGAAAATGGAACAGTCGGAAGTAGGAATCGTGGGACCGCCGACAGCTGTAAGCGAATTGATAAACGAAGAGGAACTCAGGCCGGAATCTACATTACCGACTGAGAGCAAACTGCAGGATCATGTGGCCGAGTGGGTTCAAAATTCGTCAACGGCCGTGGACCCCACGGTCGCTGAAGATGAAGGCGACGAAGGTCGTGGAGACTTCGAGGAGTCTACGAAGAAGAAGAAGAACGACACGACCATAGCGACAGCCACACGGAAATCTCAAAGGCTGGTGACAAACATCATCAAGAAGAGCATCAAATGGTGAGTCTATCAATATGTATCTATAAGTTTAAAAAAAAAAACCTGATTAATTAGGAACCAAATTAGTTCAAAATAATCACGCGTTACCAACTACTTGATACCAGACGTTTGTAATATTTAACACCACCATAGGATATTTTTGACGCCATGTCACAATCTATGACCGCACCCGTTTACCATGTGGAATATCTACGACCCCATAGCAGTTATCAGTTGATAAAAACAGGATAAGGAATAGGGACGCGCGCAAATGCACGAGAATTAGTAAGACGGGTGAAAGAGTAAAGGGACAAAGAGAGAAAGATGGAGAAATATTGACTGACGATAAGGACTACGCAGCCAATAAGTCCTGCCGTTCTCTCTGATTCTTTCTCTCCCTCCCTTAAAAGAGACACAGAGGGGCGGGGGGGCAGCGTACGTGAACCGCCTCTACCTGAAGATTCTATGAACCCACACTATCCATGTACCCACTTAACGTGCTATATTATCCGGATACCCACCCTATAGTCCACTGTACCTTCTATTTCTCCATCAAAGGAGACCAAATTACTCCAGCCAATCTACGCCCAGGATAATTCCTCTTTGAATAACGAAACACCCTTTTTGCGATACCAACGTATAAAGAAATAAAGAGTGAGCAATATTTATCTTCCAACCTCAGCGTTCTCATTGTTACCCGTGAGGTACCTGGTTCATGGGAATCTCAAGGACCCACATGCGTTCCAGTATCTGGTAAGAACCAAAACCAGAAGTGAACGGTGCCAACGGTTAGCGAGCGAAGGTCTTCCCTCTTCCCTGAGAAAAGGACGCCGGGGCCCTTACGGACCACGTAAGTCCCAAGAAAGGGGAGATCCTCTTTGTCCCGTACACGGCCCGGGTTAACCAGGCTCTAAGAGCGACGCACCAGATGTCGGAAACGATCTTTCGTCGGGTCTCCTTTAGGTTCTGACTATATGCTGGTAGCGGTACTGGTATTTGTGCTTAACTGTATAGTATAGGAGTTATGCACTAGCACAGTGACGGAAGGCACAGGACCCGCTTGTGCAAGGAATCCTGGGATGGTCCCTCGTCGTACCTAAAGCGAACCCAAGGTCCCTTCTCATGCGAATAACAGTCTCTCCTCGCACCTTTCTCAGAACTTTTCTCTTTGGTACCCTATACATTTTTCAGAACGTCAACGCTCCTGGTAGCTGCCCATCCTTTTTTTTTATTTTTTTTTTTTTTGGGAACCAATCGAGTGTCGGGAAACGTAGTTAGGTATTGGTACTTACCTTGAGGGAGGTAGGATCATTTTCCGGTACCAGGGTTTTTGGGGTTCGATTACTCATTCAGGTAACGGTGGCACCGTTACTCGACGAGCAGTTGAGGTATTCAAACCTGAGACACAGGTCGTGACCTCCATGAAGACTCTGCGATTTCCTTTTAACCGAATGAAAGGCTTTCGCAGGATTTAGAGCTCTCTTTGTTATCCTCGGCGGTACACTTGCATTGTCAAGGTCTAGGTAAACAGGGAGAGACCATCGTGGACGTCCCGGGGTGTTATGAGGGTGCCTATCTTAGCTGGGTTAATTAATACAATTATAAGTATAAATAACGGTTGAAATTGCAGTTACGGTATGTTGTAAACTCGTTGCTATCGAAATAACGTACGTTACCATGTTGGTTCGTGCTACCACCTAGTCATACCCTTGGCTCGAGCACTCAGCAACGTGATGTCACCCTCTATTCGAACCCCCTCGAAGCCATTTCCCTCGTCTACCCCCCCCTCCTCCCCCCGGATGGACCGCGCACACCACCCCCTCTGCACAAGTGTTTCGGCACCCTACAGGAATTATAAGGACACCATGAAAATAGGAACACGACGTGCACGGTCGTCGTCGCTATCGGTAAACGCTGGAATGAACGGCAAGGTAGGTCCATTGACAGCTACAGCTTAGAGTCTTGATGTTATAAAATTTGTCAACATGCGTAGTAGTCAGCAAGCGATGTTGAGGGAGTCGAATCCAGGCAGAGGAGCAGAGGCCAGGCGGTTGTGCCTTGTCGAGGCCAAATCACGCAGGCAGGCAGGCAGGCAGGCAAGGCTGGTTGCTGGTTGGCAGTGGCAGCAACAGCAGCAGCAGCAGCAGGGGAGACTCGGGCTTGGGTTCGGATGGCGGGTATTGATCCTAGCGAACGCTCAGTGGGGAAGGCGGAGACCAGAGCCCAGCTCAAGGATGAAGGGAGTCGTCTCCCTATCCCCTAGCTACCTCTCTCTTCTTCGCTTCCTCTCTCGTGGTTAGAGAGTGTTTCTCTCTAGCATTCTGGAGCGCGCGCGCGCGCGCGCGCACGTACTACTACGTTGCTATACAACGATATTGAGAGAGACGGGAAGAGAGAGAGAGAGTAGAGAGCAAACGAGGGAGAACCTTTCCAGTGGGGTAGTTGCCCCTTAAGAGGGGTGAATCCTCCAGGCGTCCGTGTACCAAAGATACCAGCACCCTTCCTGAGCGACCGCGCTGCTACGTCGCGTCGTATGCTCCATGGAAACCAGCTAGAAAACCTTGAAAATATTCGAGGCCAGGATGACCGATGTGCTCATTCCTTTCTAGAGCGATTCTTCCTCTCCGATAGTCCTAGCCGATTACCTGATATCCTCTTGGAGTATCCAACCCAATGAGGATGGCCGAGTGGTCGCGCCAGGTGGTCTTACGGAATGTCCCCCAAGACGGTCGGGCAGCTCCGTGACTTTATCGAGTTTTCTTTGCCTCGTGTAATATAGCAACGGATGCACAGCAGCCGTTGCTACGACGTCGCACTAGCCGGGGGAGCTCCGGAGACCCTTGGCGCTGTTCTCCAGCTTCTTCCGTACATGGGATTCATCGTTTACCGTGTCACCATCTGGCAGCTGTCTTCGCCCAATAGACCAACTGAGGAATTACAGAATTTTCGCAGCGGTTGCATTCGTAAAGCGTCTACCAGATAGCACAGGACACGTATCGCGCATAGGATTGCGAAACGCGAATCACTGACTCGTTAATACACGTTGCTCTTCGTCATTCGTTTGCGAATTATTCTTTTCTATTGATTGTACGCAAGACGACTTACCTTACGTCTTTCTTTGACTCTCGATAATAATTTTATCCAAGGTCGATCAGGATATTCTGGGTACTGTGGATGCTCGGTGATTAAACAATTGATATCGTACTGGCTAAGGAATGATCGTTGGGCAAATTAATCCCACGTGGACGTATGTATAGGAACGTTATTATCTGTGTACGTGATTTTTCTTATCAGACCAAAATGGCTGTTCTGGCGAACCGAGCGAGCGCGATAGTGTGTCTTTTTCGAAGGTTTTATGTAATCCAGTCGAAGCAAGTCCGTTATTGCCTTTTGTTCGATATTGCAACCAAGGAAGAAAAATAAACAGTGGAACATAGCAGTGACGACTCTCTTTGGAAACCGCCCAGACATCGCTGGCAGTAATGTTATCTATGTTTTATGTTAGCCGGGCACGGGGAAGATCGTTAGTGTCGATGCCAAGGACTGAACTCTGAAACGACAAGACAAGAGAGTAAGCATACTTAGTAAGGTATTATTAACGCGGAAGACCCAGCACTTTTGTAAATGGCCTCTTCCGAGACTCTGTTCACCTTTAGTAGGCACTCTGCTCCTCCTCGTCGTAGGAACTCCCTCCGAGCAACTTCAATTCACATTCTGCATCATGCTGGCTACTTTTCTCGAGTCGCTTCATTCTTCGGGGACGCTTTCGCGACATCCCGTGGGCGAGTCATAACGTCCTGTTCAAATAGCACAATCCTTCAGTCGATACATCTTTTTAGAATCTCTGAGGTAAATTCTCCCTTTCCTCAAGGGTATCTCTTGCTGCTGGCAGAGACTCATCTCCATAGAGATCAGAATAAGGAAAAAGGCATGTAGGTGCGAAAGCAGAATCGCCCGAGGGTTCCTAGTGTTAGTAGCAATAGTGTGGTGGTGGTGGTGGTGGTGGTGGTGCTAGTACCTAGAAACGATCCGGATAATCGTGGATGAGAGGATGCAAGAAGCAAAGGGGGATGATGGTCGTAATGGTGGCAGGGCTGAGACCAGGCAAGGGAATAGGAGGCAGGCTAAGCTTAATGGTAGAAGGGCAGGCACAGGCACCCAGGCAACCGACTGAACAACGAAGGGAGGTCCGGTAGCAAACGGGATACCGGGTAACTGCAAGGATCCCAAGGGGTGGCGAACCCTCCAAAGGACGAAGCCTGCAGCGGGAATACCGAGTGAAGGAAGGAATGAACGAAGTAGGTAGGGACCGAATGACAAAATGAAGGAACGAGGGGACCGGAGGTACCGCGAGGGATCGAGGGATCACCGATGGCAATGGCAACCAGCAGAAGCAGCAGCAGCTCCCTGCGCTGGCAGTGCGCGACCCTCTCTTCCTCCTTCCTCCTCTGCTCGTTTTCTCCTATAGCCGCCTCCCTCTCGCTCCGCCGCCTTCCCTTGCCGCCGTAGATTCCTCGGTCTGCTCTGCTCCCCTGGTCGCTCCATCTCTCCGTCCTTCCCGCCCCGGCCCGGAGCACGATCATTGGTTCACCGGTTCACGCAGGCATGAGGCACGCAGCTGCTGCCTTCTGCCTACGGTCGGCCGGACCAACCGCCAGTCAAGAACAGACCAGCGCGCGTGCGGAACGTCGCGACTCGCCCCCTTCGGAGATCACGCACGTAGCTAGCTCCTTCCTTCCTTCCTTCGTCCTTCCATCCTCCCTCATTTCCTTTCTCTCTCTCTCTCTCTCTCTCTGTCTTTCTCTTACACGCCACTCTACTTATAAACTCTTATTACACTACGTCATACGCTCAATCAGACTTCCCAATTAACTGTACCTTAAGCTCTGTCAATCCAGACCGAAGATCCAGAATCCGCGTGGTCGATTTGAAAATTTATTCCATCTCTGTTTTTGTCTGGTTCCCATAATACGTTCCTCGGTATCCGGTCTCGGCTCATTCGGTTTCAAGCGCTGGACTGT